CGAGCTCCACCACCACACCGTCGTGCCGCCGGAGCTCTCCCTCAACTTCTCCTTTCCCCTTGCTGGATCAAAAAGGAGGAGACGTCCCCAGGCTGTACGTGTGTTGAACGCGAAGGCGCCGTCAGTTCGGCGCTAGATCGGATCTTCTGCGATTTGAATCGCCGCGAGTACGACTCCATCATCCGCGTTCTTGTAACGCTTCCACTTAGCGATCTTCAAAGGTATGAAGATGCACTTCCTCTCTCTCTCTTGTTGCTAGAATCTCCTAGATGGATCTTGATGATACGTAGGAAAATTTTGAATTATTGCTACGTTACCCAACACGTGTCTGTACAACACACCCCTCAGATTGTATATATAGTTTTTCATCATCAATAAAGAATGGCGATTCTGTCATTTGCTTTTCTCTCTGAACATGATTCACTCGTTTCCTGACTCATTTGCCATTCTCTACCACTTTCTTATGGTATAAAGAACTAAACTAACTTTGTGGCACTTTCTTTGGTACAAAAGTCAAAAGGGTAGCAATGACGGGCACGACAAATGGGTAGGAATAGTAGGATGGGGTACACGATTTCGCTCCTATCCTTTGCTAAATAGGTAGAGATCCGATACCTTGTCCTTCTGTAGGTGCCCGTTTGTGGTGAACTTACAGCGAGCTATGGCGCAACTTGAGCAGCCGCTGGACGTACTCGCTAACATTAAGGACAACGACCGCCAACGGCTATTGATGGTACTACGACGGTGGTAACACATTGGTAATGGGATCAAGCATGACAAGCATGCACCACCGGTCAAGGCCTCAAGGGAATTCCTGTAGAGGTACACGCCCCTACTAGGCATCCAACAACATCCAGACAACGACTTGGAAAAAGGGTAAAATAGTGATCAGATGAAGCGGGTGTTGGGTCTCCTATATCGCACGAGCATATCCCTCCTTCACAACACATGAAATGTTAGCCCCCTTCGGCTGGATGAGTTCAGCTCAATTTCGATGGGTCTTTCTCGACTGGAGATGGAAGTGTGGGCGCCCAGATGGCCCTTCTAGGCCACTTCGACGTCATTATATTGTCGGCCTGCCACTCATGACGGTTTTGCACTGGTGCTTTGCAAGTTGAATTGACTGGGTGCGTGGAAGGGCTACCCTTGCTATCCATTGATCGTCGCTGCCAATCATTCTCGAGTCTGACTGTCCGCAAGGGATGAATATGGCGAACTTGGAAGCCAAGGACAAATCTCAATATGCCACCCGTAGGAGGTGAAGCGACCTATGGGAATCAATGCTTACTCATATACTCGTAGAGAGCAAAATAACGCCGGCCATTTCCTTCGAAATTTTGATAGGACGCATGATTGAACCGTTGTTGGCTTCACTTCGGTCCGGACATTGTCCCTAGCATGCACAGGGTTGGACTTTTGAGCTGAGTTGGTTCTTTTTTTGGCTAGGGAATTTAGTTTTTTAAAGAAGATTTAGGGAATTGAGTATTTTTAAGAAGATTGGGGAACTGAGTTTTTTAATTGAAATGTAGGGAATCGATGTTTTTTCGTTTTGAAATGTAGGGAATTGAGTTGGTTCCTTTTTTTGTTGAGACAAATTGAGTTTTTTTTAGGGCGACAAATTGAGTTGGTTCCTAGTACCTTCGCTGGCAGCGTGGCAGGCACACAACCCGTTTCAACCGGAGCGGACGGACCTTCTTCGCTGGCAAAGACGATGGCACGAGGCCCATGTGGCACATGTGCCGCGCGCACGGCGGCCCACCCACCCACATCACCCTGGCACCCCCTCGTCCCCGACTCGCTTCACTCCCCTCCCCTCCCCCCTGGCGCAACCAACCCCCCACGCACGCACGCGCGCCGCTCCGATCAAATCTCCGCACCCCACCCCGCAACCGCGTCGCCCAACTCGAAGCATCCCCGCTGGCCCGCACCGCGCCG